TCAAGTGGCCAGCATCCTGCCTGTCGCAGGATGGACCATCCCAGGCAAGGTGTCTTCACAGGACAGCAGCTGCTCCACGTGTGCTTTGAGGCAGTCAGGAAAGACTTTCCAAAAGGGAAGACTTCCCCCCACCTTCGTGTACCAAAACTCTGAGTTTCCATGGTGACAGTCAAATTGCAAATCCATCCAAGAGTGAGCCGGGGAAAAAGAAAAAGCTGGCCTGTCCCCAGAGAAGCTAGCCACTGCTAAGGATGAGAGCTGAGCAGAGTGGGGCAGCCCTTCTGGGGCATGATGGGAAAATCTCAGGGATGCCAGCTCCCCCAGCAGAGGGTCCTGGGTCTAGGGCCGCTGGGGTGGGGGAGGCCCTCCTTCCTCCCTGCCTTCTGGCAGAGCCCAGGTGAGTCCATTTGGTGACTCCTCCTCCTCCTTGGGCAGATGAGTGGGACCATCTTGTCCCTAGTGCTTTCCCATCTTCGATCTGAAAAATCAGGCGTGGGCTGAACACAAGCACTCATCACCAAGCCATCTTAGACTGTCTTGGGGGAATTAGAAGAGAAAAATCAGCCTCAGACACACAGAGTGTTTTGTTGAGGATGGAAGAGCAAGGGCCAAAAGATTTATGAGCCTAAAAGCTTCTTTAATAGACCTGGAAGATTTATGATCACAGCTGCCATGCGGCGAGAAAGGTGGCAATCGGCAATCGAATGGCAGATTACCCAAGATTTAGGTTTTATGATGACAGTCAGAGGGGGAGGTGGAAGAAAAACTTCTTCCCCTGCTGCAGGAGGAATGTTGGGGTAAATAGTGTTTGCACTGGGTCCTGTCCAGGTACATTCTCAGCAGTGTCTTCTTGGTGTGTTTCTTTCCCACCAACAGTAACTGCCAAGGCCAGGTGTGGACACTACTAGCTTCCTTCAGTTTCTTTCTTTCAAGTAGAGTTTATTACAATGGATTAGAATGGGATTGGGTTTACACTACCAAGACCTCTAAGCTGAGGTCTGGCCCCAGTTCAGAGTTCCAGACACAGTGAGCCAGGGAGGCATGGCCTAGGGGGATGAATCTTGTCGATTGGCTGGTTCCCTGCCCTGGGACACCTTTGTGAGCTCAGTTGTCATCTGGAATTCTTTCCCCTTTCCATGGCTATGGGCATTTGGGGTCTGTAAAAGGAGACAAAGAACAAGTCAACCGCCTAACTTGCCTAACTTGAGGAGGACTTATTTTTTTTATAGAACTTGAACAACCTAGGCACTTGGGACTAGGCAACATGGTGCCCAAACCTGGCCTCCAAGTTTGGGATGCTTGGGACAAGACCCACCCCTCACAACAAAAGCTGCTCCCCTGGTGTAACACAAGACTGTCTTCTTGCAATTTAAGCTCACTCTGGGACCTGCATGTGCAGATGACGAGCCAGGGAGGAGGGTGAAAGAGCAGGGTAAATGAGCTTGCCACCAAAACCTGAGTCCGAGACACCCTCTCCTATCGTCTCCTTTGGAGCTCTTGGTATTTTGCTCCCTTAGTCACCTACACAGTAGTGCCCAAGGACCCTGGCCTTGTTTCAGCCCTGGAGAGCTGCCTGTCCCGCCTGCCCCAGCCCCAGGCTCACTCCCCTCTGGCCCCAGAATTATGAAGATTGACCATAGGGGAGACAGAGCATTCCAAGTCAGGAAGAATGACTACATTATGCATAAGCAGAGACTCAGGGAAGCCATTTGGAAATCAATCCCAGCTCTCCTCAGGGACTCCCCTCTGCTTAACAGGCTGCCAGTCCCCCTTCTATCAGGAAGACACCACCCTCCCTGATTTCTTTGCAGCTGCCCCAAGGGAGACCCGGGGAGCTGCTCTCAGCCTCCTGCCCACATCCCACTCCCTTTGTCCAGGGACCCCCAGGGCAGATGCCTCATCTGTCACCGAGTGAGTCAAAAATATGTCAATGCTTACAAAACCAACACCCGTGAGGTCCCGTAGATGGAGTCATGATCAAAGACACCCCATCTGGGACCTGAAAAGCAGCTGCAGAATAAATCAGGCCTTTGCACTTCTCAAATACTATGAAGGGGCATATGGACCCCCAGCCCCTCTGAATCCCAGGCTCCATCACAAAAGCCCACAAAGCCAAACCAGAACTCTTTTTCTGGGGAAGGCCAGGAGGGAAAGAGAGCAGAAAAGGCAAAAATCCTTGAGCAGCTAGAGGAAGGAAAAGCTGGGAACAGTCACTTAGCATCACTGTTGTCCCACCCACGTGGGTCAGGCTGTGCGCAAGAAGTGCGCCAGCCTCGTTCACCAGTGCACTTTGACCCTGCCCCCCAGGATCCCGGCAGTCTGCTGGGGGAAGCACATGCACGCACGCGCACACACACACACGCACACACACACGCACACACATGCGTGCTGAAAGCAGACAGTGGCTGTAGCAGAATGCCTAGAGCATTCAGCCAGCCAGTCGCAGGTGACAGGGAAGGCTCCCTGGAGGAGACAGGCGCCTGGCTGGCTCAGTCGGTACAGCGTGGGACTCTTGACCTTGGGGTTGTAAGTTTGAGCCCAACGTTGGGTGTGGAGATTACTAAAAGAACAAATCAGTGAACAAAAAGTACCCAGGAGAAGAGGCACGGGCAGGGAGTTCTGAGCAGTAGGAAGTGAGTTGCTGGAGGAGGTACTAACCGGCAGTTTAGTAAGAACCCAGTCGTGTGGAGAAGCCTGAGTAAGATTGGGCAGGATGGGGATGCCTGGGTGGCTCAGTCGTTAAGCATCTGCCTTTGGCTTAGGTCATGATCCAGGGGCCTGGGATCAAGCCCCGCACTGGGCTCCCTGTTCAGCAGGGAGTCTCCCTCTCTCTCTGCTGCTCCCCAGCTCATGCTCTGTCTCTTTCTTTCTAATAAATAAATACGATCTTAAAGAATGAAAGAGTAGGCTAGGATGTACGTGTTAGCTGGAGCATTCCCCTCCGTGCCAAGAGAGGTGCCCACAGGTGGGGCCCCGGTGGGAAGCGAGTGAAGGAGTCCCGACTGGAGACTCGGAGGTTTGGAGCTAAGCAGACGACCATGGTGAGGAGGCCACTGATTGGAGAACCACTCAGGAGGCAAAGCAGGCAGAATGTGGGGATGGGGAGAGGGAAGAGTCAAGCAGTCACCAGGACTTCTTCCCGAAGCACCTGTGTATCAGACACTCTGCCGAGGCCGCACGGGGTAGAGAATCTCCTAGAGCTGGAATGGTTGGCCAGCTCCATCCCTCCGGTTGCCAGATTCAGTGACCTGTGACTCCCTTTGCTGAAGGCACAAAGGCTTTCCAGAAGACCCTAGAAGCTCCATGGCCTGGGTCCTGCTGCAGCTGCTCTTGTACCCCAGGGGATTTCCCTGCCTGACCACTGTCCTTCCTGCAGGATGCTGATGCTGGCTCAGTGCTTTCCCCTGCACACGGCTCCACAGGGAGCCTGACCCATCACATGAAGCCTCTCAGCCACCCTGGGCATAGACTGACTTGATTTCCGATCTCGTCACCCACCCCACCCCACGGGTCTCTGGGGCTCGGAGCTGTTGGGTATTCGTGCTCTCTGGGCAGCTGACACTGTGCCGGGCAGAGTGCCCAGCCTCTCCTCCCTTCCTTCCGGACCCAGCATGTTGCCCTCCCCGGCAAGGCACATGGACTCACACCCCATCCACCGAGTCAGTGCCCCGTGAGAGTGGTTTACCCATGACCCCAGACCTTCTGTACTGTGTGGTACTTGGTATGAGGATGACATCACCTAATTAAGTGTTACGTAAACTGCTGGAAAGAGCCAGGAAAAGACAGAGTTGTTTCATTAAAACCAGGACTTCCGAAAGTCTTGAGAGAAGCGACGTGCTTAAAAAAGCTATTGAATCAGGTGTGGGCAGGACAACTGTAAAAAGCAGGAGAAAGAAATGGAAAAGCAGAGAAGGATCCTGCACTCATCCTGCTTTGCTAATGTCTCTAAGCTGTGCTCCAGTGTAGAGACCCCGTGCCTGGGGAGAACAGACACCGCCATACAGACACAGCTTAGACACAAAAGACCATGTGGGACCGATCTCAAAGCAGCCCCCAACTCCTCCATCAAAAGATGGGTGAATGGGTATACATTTCTATGCTTAAAATTAAAATAGAATGTTTAATCTATGAATATATCCGGTATTATGACTCCCACTGTTGATCCACTGGCCAAATGTGGTGCCATGTAGTCCACAAAAGAAGGTTTCTACCATAGCAGGTGTTTGCCGGGAGAGCTCCCTCTCCTCCCCTCTCCTGGGACTCCAGCCCCATCGGCCTGGCTCCCGTCTGTGTTCACAAGACCCCACTGTACATTCCTGGACGAACTGGGACAAGTGCCCAGGCCTGCCAGCTCCCAGTTCATTTCTCCCAGTAAAATCAGACTGGTTGCAGACACAGAGGGGTAGAGCCAATCTGCCAGGGAGTGACCCTAGCTCTCCCACTTAGCACCTTGGGCAAGTGCCTTGGCTTCCTCACCTGCAAGCCCCGTGTTCGGGGTTGTCCAGAAGCTTGAGCGAGCTAGCAGATGTCAAGTGCCTGGAGTGCTCTATAAGGGTTGGCGAGGACCGGATATTTTGTACCTGTAACACAGCCTCAGCACAAGGTAGAGGGGCGTGGCCTTACACCCTGAGTGTGGCCAGGTGCACATCTCAGAGCAGTTGTGCCTGCAACCCAAGGGGATAATCAGCTCCTACCAGAGCAAGAGGCTCCCGAGTCTGCCAGTGGGACAGGGTCACCTATAGAGACGGCCAGCTGTAGGGGGGTAAGCCTGAGGCCCAGCCTCTTCACACCAGCACTCACCTCTTTGGCTGACAGAACGGAGTACCCTGCCATTCCGCTCCCCAGGCCACTGTTTCTGTATCCCAAACACAAGGACCAGCCAAGGTTCCATGCCAGTTTGTCCCGGCAGAAGGGAGGCCTGCCCCAGGCCCTCTGCCTGATGTGCCTACTGGTAGTGACCAGGAAGGGTAACCTCTCATGCTGGTGTCTGTTCTTTCCAGTGGTTTCCAGTGACAGTGACAGTGACTCAGATCTCAGTGCCTCTAGCCTGGAGGACAGACTTCTTCTGACAGGGGTCAGGGAGCCCACAGGTGCCAAGCCCTTCGGGGAAGCAGGTAAGCAGAACAAGGATACTGCTTGTTCCTGAAGCGCATGGTGCCGATGGCATGGCTGCTTCCTCGGCCTGTGGCCACCCAGCTGGTGTCTGCGGAACTGTTCTTGACAGGGGAGGAGGAGAGGGCGTGGGGCTGGGATGACCAGGAGCTAAGCATTAGCTTCTCTGCAGAGCGGGACATAGAGGAGACCCAGATGGATTAGCAGGGGTGAAGGGAGGGCGGCAGATCTAGCACACCTGCCTGCATACCTGGATTCCCCCCTAGGCTCCCAGCGAGCATCCCCAGGGTGAGATTTTTTTGTCTCGTGAGTGATAAGAGCTGTGAACATCAGGTAGAAAGTGCCTTGGTCTAGCTCGGCTCTGCCGTGAAACCACGGTGGGCCCTGATTAATACATATCTTTACCTCTTGGCCCTCTGTCTCCCAGAGCATGTGGTCCCCAAAGTGTTTTCTGAGTTTGACTTCTCTGAGCTGGCCTCTAAGACCTTGTCATATGAAAGAGAGTTAATGGAGCCTGGAGGCTAGTGCAGAGAAAACCTGGGGGCACACTTTTGTTTCCTTTAAACCCACAGAGGGCCTTCCTGGGAAAAGGACCAGGTCAGTTAGAGTTACTCCAGATGGTAGAAAACTGGGGTATTTGAAAAACATTTCAGGGAGGCTGATTTTAATGCATAAGCAGAGAGCTTTATAATAACTGTCCCAAACTGAAAGGACATGCCTCAGGGTGTTGTCCTGGGACCAAGGTGGGGTGATCTGCCAGTGCCAATATGGAGGGAATTCCCGATGGGGATGGCAGTTCAGGCTGGATCAGAGCTGGCAGATGCCTGGCATGCACACTTCCGCTTCCGCTCCTGTGCCCCTGGCAGACATCACTAGTCGATCTCAGGACTCTCCCACAGAGCCTGATATGGCCTCAGAAGCCTCCTCAGCACACTGTTCCAAGTGGTCATTACCGGTAGGTGGAGACCACACAGGAGACGACACTGGTTTCTGGACTAGACGATCTCTGAGCCCTCTCAGTCTCAAGAGTCTAACTTAGAAGAGTGTGAAGGACACTCACCTGCCAGCCTTGGTTTCTGGGGCAGATTTTATACGCCCCTGCACCCCCCACGCTCCACAGAGCACTGAACCCTCCCTCATACCAGCTCTCAGCCATGACCAAGGGGGTGTGGTAGGTAGGAAGAGATGGAGCACAGAGTAGTACAGGCCTCACCTCTGTGCTCTCTGCTTGGCCACTAGGTAACAGCTATACATAAGGGAAGAGTACTTAGTTAATAAAGGCAGCAATTAATAATACCACTGAGGGGCCCCTGGGGGGTTCGTCAGTTGAGCCTCTGCCTTCCCTCGGCTCAGATCATGATCCCAGAGTCTGAGGATCGAGTCCCACATCAGACTCTCTGCTCAGCAGAGAGCCCGCTTCCCCCTCTCCCACTGCCCCTCCCCCAACATGTGTGCTTGCTCTCTCTTGCTCATGCGCTCTCTCTCTCTCTCTCTCAAATAAATAAATAGAGTCTAAAAAAAACCAAAAACAAACACTGGGGGGCAGCCGGCTGGGTCAGGCCATAGAACATGTGACTCCTGATCTCAGGGTCAAGTTCAAGCCCCATGTTGGTGTAGAGACGACTTAAACAAACAAACTTTAAAAAAATCCCATTGAGTTAGTGAATATGTACACCCTTCCCCCTCAATCGGTGAAGGCAGGAAAAACTCATCATTGCTAGTTTTCATGCTGGTGACTTGTTCCTTGCTGAACCCACCTGCAGGCCTATGCAGTGACCTTTGTATATCCTGGACCAGCCAGTACTGGTCAGAGGGTAGGGTCTCCTGAGAACATGGCAGCCATGTGGGGCAGCAGGTAAGGGACTCTGAGCAGACAATCCCATAGACATCTAGCACAGTTCCAAATGAGATGATTTTATTTTATTTTTTTTAAGATTTTTTTAATTTTTATTTTTTATTTATTTGACAGAAAGAAATCACAACTAGGCAGAGAGGCAGGCAGAGAGAGAGAAGGAAGCAGGGTCCCCTGCTGAGCAAGAGAGCCCAATGCAGGGCTCGATCCCAGGACCCTGGGATCACGACCCGAGCCGAAGGCAGAGGCTTTAACCCACTGAGCCACTCAGGCACCCCAAGAAGATTTTATTTTTTTACCTATTTTTAAGTAGACCGTGCTCAGCGTGGAGCCCAACATGGGGCTTGAACTCATGACTGTGAGATTGAGACCTGAGCTGAGATCAAGAGTCAGACGCTCAACCAACTGAGCCACCCAGACGCCCCCAAACTGAGATTTTAGATCAGCTCCTTATCAGGCTGAGATTATTCCCATCTCAGTTCATGGTCCCTTGCAGGTGGCAGCATGGAGTCCCCCAAGATGGGGCCCCCCCGCCAGCCCAGCCCCCTCTCCGGGAGCCAGAGCAGCCTGGCCAGTGAGACTGGCACCAGCTCTGCAGACCCACAGGGCACCTCAGGCTGGCCAGACCCAAAGAGCCCCGGTGAGTACCAAGCTGCTCCTTCTAACGCACCCACCTCTCCCTTTTCTGCTTCCCCACGGTCCTCCTTCCTCACTCAGTCCACCCAAACCACAGTGCTAGGTGATGTTCGCAATTCTCTGTTTATTGAGCACTGTGCCAGGCACGGGGGGATCCGAGGTGAACCAGACCCCTCTCCTGCCTGCAGTGAACCAACCCGGGCAACTTGGGAGCATCATGCAATGGGTTCAGGCAGTGTGAGGGACCTCGGTTCTGCCCCCAGTCTCCTTCAAGAAAAAAGCCCCAGCTGGACTTGGCACCTCTGGGCCAGGAGCCGTGGACACGCGGCCCATGCATTCATCAGCCAGCAGCTGACCTCCCCACTGCCCCACCCAGTAGTGACTCTCCCACAGGCTGTGTGCGCTGGCAGCAACCCGCCCCCCACATCAGGAAGCCTTGTGGGAGCTCTCACCCGCTCCCTGTCTTCCCTCCTCCCCTTTTTCCTGCCTCGATGGTGCCAAGAAGCTACAGTCTAGGGCATTTAAGAGAGGCCACAGGTGAGCAGGTCTCTGGAGAGGGAGGCCCCGTGGCCGTGTATGTGGAGTGTACCCTCTCCCCTCCTTCTCCTGAAATCCCCCGCAGAGGACAGTCTGGAATCAGCCACGTTTTAGTCCCAGCCGTGCCACCCACAGACACGTGAACCTGGGCAAACCATCAGATTCAGCCATTTGAAATTGCCTCTTTATAGATCAAAAATAGTCAGATGTTGGCATCGATATGATTCAACCTAATATTTGATCTCTCTGCACCCAATTCCATTATTGCTAATGTGGGGACCATGCTGTGTTCCTCGTGGGGCTGGGGGTGGATGGGAGAAATGCAACATTCTCATGGAGTGTGTCCTCTAAGTAGGTCTTCAGCAGATAGCTAGTAAGGCTATCTGTGTGACCCAGGGCATAGAAGGGGCCCCAGGGCTTGCAGAACAAGCTGGGGTAAGTTTTGTATTACCACGCCATTCCCAAAGTTCAGGCTGTTGCTGGGGAGGGATCCGGCCTCTGCTCACTCTATAGTGGCCTTTTTTTTCCTCTCCCCTAAAGGCAAAAGGCCTGCCTGGGCAATTCCCCGTTGCTGACACGACCTCCCAAGGCCCCGCCTGCCTGCCCCAGCAGAGACCTGTTTGGTGCACGGAGCAGACTTTGCAGTGGAGGAGTTCGAGAGAGAAAGCAAGCTGGGAGGGTCTGGTGAGCAGCCTGCAGCCCTCAGCTGTTGGACGTGACCTCCGACTCAACCAACCAGTGTTTGGGGGGCTGAGTCTCCTCCACTCAGTGCCTTTCTGCCCCCTTTTTCCCTGGGAGCCCTCCTCCCTCCCCTCACCACAGCCATCCCACTCAGCCCTGACCTTTATTTATTGCCCTTCCCTTGCACCCTCCCCGTCTACCTCCATATTCATTTTAAGTTTGGTCTTGTCTTGGGGTGGGCCGGAAGGGCCTGCAGACCGGCCTTATGGGGCCCTCCCATATGCACTGCAGCATGCACTGGGCTGGGCTTTCTCTTATTAATGGAAGGAGAACCCAGTCCTGAACATTGCCCTTCAAAGCTGAGCTTGGGCCCTAGAGATGAGCAGTGGGTCCTAGAGGGTGCAGGGTGAGAAGCTTGCCCACCCTTCCGCCTCCCGAGGGCTCTGGAAGCAGGAGCAGCACCCTCCCTTGGCTCAAGATTGGCTCAGGAGCTGCTGTCGAGTGCTGGCCCTTGCGTGGGTTTCTGGGGACCCCTCTGATGGCCTTCCCAGGTTCTGCTCAGCCTCTCTCCAGCTCGTGGAGCCTGGAAGGGCTCTGGGGGTATGGTGAATTCCCTCATTGAAGAGCAGTCTTCAGCTGCATCCCCAGCTGGGGTACAAGTCTCCCCTAAGCATGAAAAATAATTCAGACAGTGAGCAAATGCTTCTGGAAAACCCTTCCCTGAAGACAGAGCTTGAGAGAGAGAGAATGTGTGTGTGTGTGTGTGTGTGTGTGTGTGTGTTGGTATCCTCATCTCTCCATCCGGCCACTCTCCCACTGCCCCGTACTCCTGTTCCTTGAAGGGCCTTCTCTCCGGGCTCTCAGGGCCCCACCGTTAGCTTTTTTGCCCTTGCCGCTGGCAAATGGTAAAAAGACAGACTATTTCCCTGTGACAAGTTATGCTTCAAAATTTGTAACAATAAAGATTAGAATTTGCATTGAGCCAGTGTGTTGCCCCAAAGACCACAGTCACTTGTGTTTCTGAGATGCATCGATAGAGAAATGGTTGGAAAAGATGTAGCGTGTTGCTCGCAGTGAAAAGAATGAGCTCGATCTCTGTGTGGTAGAACTCACAACCCTCATGTTGAATGGAAAAACAAGGCCATTTCTGCTTAGAAAAAAAATTTAAGTATACATACAAATAATCAAAATGAGTTGTATGAACTTTTTTTTAAAGCTTTTATTTATTTATTTGACAGAGACACACACACAGTGAGAGAGGGAACACAAGCAGAGGGAGTGGGAGAGGGAAAAGCAGATTCCCCGCTGAGCAGGGAGCCCGATGCGGGACTCGATCCTAGGACCCTGGGATCACAACCCGAGCCAAAGGCAGATGCTGAACAACCGAGCCACCCGGGTGCCCTAGAGTTGTAAGAACTTCTGTGCACAGATGTGAAAATGCTTGTAAAATGGACAGGGACTTGTGGTTCAATAGAGCAGACTGAACACATTTTTATTTCTTCTTACCCCCAAGCTCCACCAGGACGACCTAAAGGAATGAAGTGGCATAAATTACAAAGCCGTAAAGGAGAGGAGAGGGATGGAAACAGAGAGGAGAGGTCTGGGAACTTTGGGAGATGGAAGATACACTGTCAGCTTCCCCAGCTCCCCAAAATGTCTCCAAGGGAGAAAGCCAGCCATGAACAAGCTCATTTGCTTTGCAGAATCTGCCAAATTCTCAGAACTCGGAGAGGCCAGGTGTCCCTAAGGTGAAAGTTAGGATGGGTATGAAAATAGTATTGTTGGGAAGACGTTAGATCCCCAAGTCCCTTCTCATAGCCCACGTGGCCCTTTCCTGACCCTGGTAGACCCTAGAAGCCCCAGGTTTACTGCTGGCCAAGGGTGCACTAGAAGGATTTGGGACTGGGGACCCCAAGCCCAGCCAAAGACTGGAGTGAGGCAGTGGTTAATGGAGAGACTCTCCAGCCCCTTCCCCACTAACAGCTGGCTTCTCCATCCACCTGCCCCCAAGGCAAGATGTTATTCAGCCTGTCACTGGGGAATGAACTGAAAACGTTGACCGATCCTAATGTTGGCAATTCCCCTTCTCTGCCCAGTCATCCCCATGAGGCCCCTTGTACGCAAGCCCTGCCCACATGTACAGTTTCTAGTAGCTTGGCTGTGTGGCCCTCAGCTGGAACAGGCAGAGGTGCCAACAGTTGACCAAAACCAACAAACCAGAAATAGAGATTCCAATACCTAGGAGAAAGGGGTCAGGGAACAATCCTCCGAGGATACTCACCCATGAAACAGGAAAAGAAAGTTAGTTATAGTGAGATAGCAAGCAAGCAAGTGGGGGGAGGGACAGAGGGGAGAGGGAGAATTTTTTTTTTTAATAAAGATCTATTTTTTATTTATTTTAGAGAGAGAGAGATCTAGCCAGAGGGAGGGTCCCCCCTCTAGGGGAAGGGAAAGAGAATCCTCAAGCCAACTCCATGCTGAGCCCAGGGGCCAATTCCAGGGGCTCGATCTCATAACCCTGAGATCATTACCTGAACTGAAATCAAGAGTGTAATTTTTTAAAAAAGAAGTGTTAAAATGAAATAAAAAGGAAGTGTCAAGGCTCTTGAAAATTAAAAATATAATAGCAGAATTTAAAAATCCATTAGAGGGGCATCTGGGTGGCTCAGTCAGTTGGGCGTCTGCCTTCGGCTCAGGTCATGATCTCAGGGTCCTAGGATCGAGCCCCACATCGGGCTCTCTGCTCAGCGGGGAGCCTGCTTCCTCCCCCCACCCCACCCTCTGCCTACTTGTGATCTCTCTCTCTCTTTTTCTTTCAAATAAGTAATATCTTAAAAAATAAATAAATTTTAAAAATAAATAAAAATGCATTAGAAGGGATGGAGATGAGAGAAGAATCTCCTGGGAAGTAAAACACAAAAAGAGATGTGAGCGTACAAGGAAAAAGTCAAGAAAATTGGACGACCCAAAGGTAAGGCCCATGAAGAAGGCCAACTTCCAATGGATACGCATTTCAAACCAAGAAACACACAAAAAAAGGGGGGGGGGTTGAAAAGTGTTGAAGACGTTCTCTCCATCACCTGAGGTCTCCCGAAACAGACTCTCGCTCACAGGGCCAGGGCCAGATCTGTGAGTGTCTGTCTAACAAGCCACTGGCTGGAGGACCACACGTGTGGGCCAGTGGCCCCCATGCGGACCAGTAGTCATCACCACTGGCTAATATGAATACCCATTGAGTTTTACAAGCCCATCACACCAGACACCATCCCCACCTCCCCCCACTCTCCGAGATTCTAGTTTCATCAATTTGGGGCTCAGCCTTGAAATCAGGATTCTATAAACCACACATGTCTCCAGTGTGCTGGCAGAAATGGGAATCATTTCACTACAGAAGCTCCTCTGAGTGGGCTCCGGGAGACAAGTACAGAGTGTCAAGAGCAGTACCTTTTTATTAGCCAAAAATTGGAAAGGACCTACGTAGTGTCAACAGAAGAATAGATACATAAGCGGTGATACAGTGTAGTCCAACAATGAAATATCCTGATGGAAATGAGTGGGTACTCTCAGATGACTCTTGCGAGCAACCAGGAGCAAAGAAACAGATGGCAGAAAAATACATACTTTATGACACCATCTATATAGAGATTTTAAAAGGGGGTGAAATGACATATATTAACATATATTTTATGCAGCGAAAGAATAAAGAAAGGCACAGGAAGGATAAACAACAGATCTCAAGGCACATCTCAAGAAGAGGGGGCCCGCTACAGAGGGGTTTCAATGTGTTAGTAATGTTTTAACGTCATTGATGGATAGATGGTTTTACAATGTTTATATCATAGTATTTCATTATGTGTTATATTTGCATTATTTTATAGTTCTGAAATCTTTCAAAATAAAGTAAGGAACTATAGCAGGCTTTCTTATCATGAAGTTTCAGGATCCCAGGATTAAAAATCCTAAAGGGATAAAAGAAAAAAAGCAACAAGTCACATACCAAGGATCAGGGATTTTAAATGGCATTGAAATTCTCAAACCAGATTTTTTAAAAATATTTTATTTATTTATTTGACAGAGAGATAGCGCAAGTAGGCAGAGCAGCAGGCAGAGGTAGAGGGAGAAGCAGGCTGTCCATTGAGCAGGAAGTCCGATGTGGGACTCGATCTCAGGACCCTGGGATCATGACCTGAGCCAAAGGCAGCTGCTTAACGAGGTGAGCCACCCTGGTTTGTTTTTTTTTTTTAAGATTTTATTTATTTATTTATTTATCAGAGAGAGAGAGAGCACAAGCAGGGGAGAGTGGCAGGCAGAGGGAGAAGCAGGTTCCCCACTGAGCAGGGAGCCCAATGTGGGACTCGATCCCAGGACCCTAGGATCATAACCTGAACTGAAGGTAGAAGCTCAACCAACTGAGCCACCCAGGCGCCCCTCTCAAAGCAGATTTTGAAGTATTATCTTCTGAATTCTGATAGGAAACGTTTTCTAATCTAGATTTGTACCCACCCAAATCTCACTGATGGTAGAATGAAGATATTTTCAGAAATGTGAGATTTTTAAATAATTGACCTCCCATACATTCTTTCTCAGGCAGCTAAAGGATGTGCTCCAGCCAGACAAGGGAGAAAACCAGGAAAGAGGATAGCGGGGACTGAAAACTGGAGATCCAACACAGGAGAGGGGCAGAGAGAGACCCCAGGATGATGATAGTGGCTGTGTGGCTGGGCTAGAGGCCAAGATTGGAGCATGAGCACAGAGGCAGTGTATAAGGATATACAGAAGGGTAAGAAGCATATGTGTGTTGGGGAGCATGTATATGGTATGATATTTTATATTGTGTTATATAATATGTAATACCGAAAAATCAAGAAATCAAATTTGATACCGAATTGAATTTTGGTACAAAAGTGAATACCAGCAGAATGGTTAGGGGTTCGAATGGTTGCCTAGAGTGGGAGCGAGGAGGCGTGGGGGTTCTGCCCTATTTTATAAACCTTGAAGGACATTTGTTCTTATTTCCACAAT